ATGTTTTTACCTATTTGCCATCGATATTTATTTTCAACATTATAATTACTTTTAAAATTTCATTAAATTTATCTTAATTAATAAAATTTTCAAACACGCAGATCTGAATATGACTAAATTGGTTAAAATATATATTCAACAAACATATTAACTTCATATGCATATTGCGAGAAATACAATCAGTTATGGATTTTTTTTTTGTTTTTTTAAATAATATTGTCAAATTGTATATGGTAGAGATTCCCACTTACCACCCTAAGTGTTTGATATTTAAGAAATTATCCCTGCATAATTTATGCTTGTTTTGACATCCACTCATATTTTAAAACATATTTTGTACTTTTAAGTATTATATATATAATTAAACTTAAAAAAAAAAACAAGGTCAAGTTGTAATTTTAATTTAACATAATTTTGCTTTAGGTTGGTCCATATGATAATATTATCATAGGATTTGTTTTAATCTGAGTATAAAGTTCAAAAATTTTAGATTAGTCCTTATAATTATTCAAACTTACAAATTGTCTTCGCGGTTTGGGCATTTGTTTTAACGTGGGCATTGAACTAATGTTTTTTTATTAACTTATTATGTCAGTTGATTGTATTAGGATTTAGGGTTAAAAGAAAATGGRAAGGAAAATGACTGAGAATGATTTGTGAACTTTCAAACCACGCACCAAATTAAAATTGAACACAAATTAGACGAAATTGAACTTTTGAAAACGACAGATACTGTGACGTTCGAATAGAAATATGTACATGAATGAATTGATACCACATCTAAATGAGAGAAAAAATATTGATAGTCACTATCTACATCAAGACTCAATAATAAAAATTTTAAACTTAAGCGTACCTAGTTTGAAGCGAAGCATGTGAGTGATGACAAATCATGTTTAACTCATATTGGTGTATAGAGATAGTGTTCACCCTCCTAAATAGCTCTTAATCAGATACCGAACTAAAACTATATCCAAATTAGAGACAATAAATTTGTAAACCTTTCATGTTTGAAAAAATTAAAAAAATTTAGACCATTCATAATCAATTTAAATATATTGAACAATAAAAGAATAACGCTATGCAAGCATATCCTCTCGTTTTTTTTGTCTTTTTTTTTTGTTTTTTTGTTTTTGTTTTTTGTTGTGTTTTATTTGGGACTTGCTTCATTTATGAAAACTATCATTGTCGTGACGTCAGCAGTGACTTGTTGAGATAGCTATGGCGGTCGTTCCTTTTCACCTTATAAAATGAACCGGACCCTTCATTACCACAGGTCCACACTTTAGGCAAATATCAAAATAATTAATAAAAATTTATAAAATAATCACTACTTTTTAATTTTATAAAAATGGTAAAATTTAGAAGCCCAACCTATATCAGGTAAAAGCTCAATATACATGATTATTAAATAATAATTGACTTTAAAGACGTACGTGGAAAATCAGTGATTGTTTTAAATAAAACTTATTTCTATTTGAATATTACCATCTAAAATAGTGACCATAATTTAAACTATCTTAGTTTTGTAATTAAATTTTAAGTTAAAATATTATTTTAATTCTGTAATTTTATTTTTAATTTTTACAAATTCGATTCATTTTAATCTCTGTATTTTTAAAAGGTTCATTTTAGTTCGTGTACTTAAAAAATTGACAATTTTAATCATTTAATTTTTTTTAATCTCATTTTTTCTATCACAATTTCAACGTGACAATACATTTAATATATCTTTTGAAATGTAACACGATTTTATATTAAAGGACTTTCGTTAGATTAGGTATATAATTTGTATTAGCATATAATAAGTAAGTATTAAAATTATCGCTCTGTAAAAGTATGAGAATCAAAACAAACACAATAGAACAAAAGTTAAAATATAGAGACCAAACTAAAACATAGCTAAAATAGAATAGTGTCGTAACCAAAATAGTATTTTAACCTCAAAATTTAAATTTATCTAAACTAATTTGGATTATTATTACAACTTCATCTGTGCTTACGTGGACTTTCATTATCTGATATTTGTGCTCTAACTTCTATTCTCTCCCTTTTATTTTTATTATTTTTAAAACTTAACCTTTGTAGATCGTGAAATTATAAAATAATTTTTTTTCCTTTTTTTTTTTTGTTTTTTGGTTTGCTCTTCCTTTTAAGCAGGGGTTAATGATAACTTGTCACAACTAATAAAAACAATAACACAATTATTGGTTTTCTGAAAAAATATTTCACCACAAATTTGATAGAATTAAAACATAATAAAATCAATATTCAAATCGTCAGCCTTCCTTCTTCTTCAATGTCTTAACTTTAGAGCCTGTTTCAACATGCAAATGGAAAAGCTTAATCAACTTCCTTGCCCATCATTTTACCATCCTTCACAATCATGGCTTCAAGAACATCGACATTTTTTTTTAAAGGTAAGCATATCATTCCAAAATACTACCGTGTCACCCTATTTCTTTATCCTCCGTATCTTTTCTCGAGAGGAAAATATTTAAAAGAAATTGTAGATAGTTTTTGTGTTGCGATACTTATTCTTATATAAAAAACTTGTAAATAAATAAAATAATATAAATAAAGATAGATTAAACGTATTTTTGAATTAAGAGGATTTTATTTATTTAACTTAAACCAAGATTAGAATTGTTTGTTCAAATTTGTGGTTTTGTATGTACGCTAGGTGTCCACATAATATATGACGTGCCATCTCACTCCAGGTCTAATCAACTAAAGAAACTTTGCCACGTAATTTTATGGGCCAAATCACATAATTAAGATTGTCCTAGGTTTCAATCTTATCGGTACCATTTTTAAAAGTGGAGATTTCAAGTCGTTGAAAAAGAAAAAAGTTTGTTAGTTAGTTCCATGATTTCACATACGTCAACATTAATTGACAATAGTAAAAGTAGACAGGAACGTTGATGTTTAATTTTTTTTGGGTAAGGTGTTAGCGGTAGATGATAACTTAACTTAAAAATTAATTTTCATGTGTTTTTCAATATTAATATTGTGTAGTTAGGTGGCTGTCATTTGAAATTAGTTGGGTGCACACAGGTTTGGAATCGATGAAAAAAAATGTTAACAGTTGTCTTACTAAAAATTTGTTGGTACATACAAATAGAAACTTGTAAATTATGTACGCTTAGCCACATACACTACGAATTTTAAGTTAGTGTTTAGTCTAAACTTACATCAATTTAATAGGAATGAGACATTGAGAATTGAGATTCTACCATTGTGGTTATCATACAACCGACAGTGAAATCTAAATGTTATTAAGTTTCATGTCAGTCAAAATCATCTTTAAGTTGGAGTCGAGCTGAGTTATCTTCACAAAGTTATGGGCCCTTCCTTCTTGTCGTTGAAGTATCTAAATTGAGGCTTGAACACACATGTCCTAAAGAACACAAGTTGTGCTTGATTTTACCTCATGACAAATAACAAAATACTTTACTAAATCTTTAATTTGGTCATTATTGACGATTTGACATCTCTTCTTTTTACAAAAAAAAAAGCATGTAACAATGTAGCTGACCAATCAGAAGGTAATTTGAATTATTCGTAACATAATTGTCTTCCTTTTACAGTCTGCCAAATGTGATGAATATTTATTTATTTATTATTATTATATAATTAGTAACTGTAGGGAATTATATATATATATATATATATATATATATATATATATATATATGTAAAAGAACGAACTATCTTTTTATTTGATCTTTGGGACCTTAAAAATCTAAGTTATAATGAAAATTTTAATGCAAGAAAGGCAGAAACTAGTCTTATAGTTCATTAAGATTTCACGTGGTTTAGCCTATTTTTTATGAAGATATTCTTAAGAAACAATAAACTATTTTTATGTCTCTTTTTTTTTTTTACAAAAATCATATTAATTAATGAAAATTGTAATAGGATAAAAGTAGTTGTCATATTTACAAATTTGTTATATAAAAAAATAGTTTATGAACAAGACAATTTATTTGTTTGTACATCATTAATATATTTAATATAAAATACATTATTGATATAAAAAACCTTACCATTATTATGCTATTTTTGCATAAATTTCAACGCCTGGCAAATCTGGTCACCATATACTATTCTTTGCTATTTTTGGAATCTCTCAATTTTGACAAAATATAAATTATCATAGAAAGTAAATAAACTTTGAGATAACAGATCTCATAATGACCATTCCACCTACTTTGAATATTAAAAGCTTACAAATTTACCAGCAACGTGTGAGTAACAGGGGTGTCCATAAGTTTAATTGAACACACTTCCATATCAAAAGAAAAATTGGGAGAAATGATCTACTCAGTCATTTTTTATTTTTTCGTAAAAATTATGTATATTGCTAGAAAAAAGAGTTCATAGTTTGAGATTAAGACACAAATCAGACAAAGAGACTGGCCAATAAAGTCTTAATACCAACACGGAATAAAACAAATTCAARCAAACGAAAAACATTATAAACACAATTCACCTATCCGAACTCATTCATGAAAATAAATGTCTAACTACGTATCAATGAACATGAATGATAACGCATCATATCTCACCAAACATACATATCATTTGGGACAAGATATAAAATGACGGTAATCAATATATGTATGGTATATCCAATAAAATTTTAGATGTAAAACATGATTGTTTGTTTAAGTAACAAGATGAACAATTCACAGTGAGATTAGTCTGGTAGGGTTGCCTCGTGAGATTATTCGAGCTGTGCGTAAGCTGGCATGGACACTGTATAAAAAGTGAATACCAAAATTATGACGTCATATATAAAAATTATAAACGAAACGAATTATATTTATATTTGTGAAATATTTACATTCCAACGCAATACCTTCTTCACTGCTCATTGCCTCTCGAATCTCATTCTCAGGCAATAAGGAAAAGAGAGCAAACGAAAACGAAAATATCCCGTCTTTCGCACCGAAACGGGGCGGAGAGACTGTGCTTGAGCTCTAATGGCGGAGAAACCCCAACCGGTGCTTGTATTGTACTGTCCCGTCTGCAGTTTGCCGGCGGAGTACTGCGAATTCGGACCCGATTTTGAGAAATGCAAGCCTTGGTTGATCCGGAATGCCCCGGACCTCTACCCCGATCTCCTCAAAGGTTCTTCGCACTCCAAAACCCTAATCTCCTCCTATTTAGTTTCTCCAACCTATTCTAAATCCGAGTTCATCCACTAACATTCCGTTGTTTGTTTTTTTGTTTGTAGAGGCAAACGCGAAGGAAGCTGCTGAAGCTTCCAACCAACTGCAGTCCACCAGTATCTCATCTGCTGCTGGCGATGGAGCCGCTTCTTCAGGTTAACTTGTCAAATATATATATATGTGTGTGTGTGTCTGTATCTATATGTATAATAGTTTTTATTTTTTTGTTTCGTTGTGTCGGCATCCTAGGTTCACTTAAATATGTCGAAAGCTACTCACCACGGTGTTATTTACTTCACTAATGAACACATCTCAATTGTTTGAGTTTGAGCACATTTGATTTTGCGATCCATTCAGAGGCTTCTTCTGATGTACCTGCCTAGTGTCAGCGTTTCTGATGTCGGAATTCTGCAGATGGTCGGAAATATATAATTTGTGTTCAGTAGGATTAATTGACCCTAAAATAAATTGTTCAATTTAGTTGGTCAAATCTCTTTCATCTCAAAGAGATTGCAGTGAGTAGTCCCATTAAATGTTTTTCCCCCTTTTGCCAAATGGTTCACTTTCTTGCCCTTCTTCTTAAGGTGACTTTTGACTTAATTGTCTTGTGTCTGACAGCGTCCAATTGTATTGTATTTTAAGCAACATTTGCTTGCTCGTAATTGTTTAATAGTAATTTTATATTTGTTTGGTCTCAATCTACGACTTATTTCTTTAGTCACTCTTTTCATTTTTTGTGGAGAACTACAGCACCTAAGCAAGAGGAAGTGAAACGTCTACCTGGTGGCAAGATAAAGAAAAAGGTAACTTAGTTTTTAAACTTGGTTCTGTTGTCACTGTTTAATGGGACTAGAAACATGATATATGTAATTTATTGGATTTACTTGTAGGAAAAGCAAGAAGTTGTGATTGAGAAGGTTACACGAAATAAGAGAAAGTGCATTACAACTGTGAAAGGGTTAGACCTTTTTGGTGAGCAATACTTTGTTTTTTTTATCCCTACTTGACACTTCTTCATTGTTACATTAATTCTCAATAACAGTTCCTCTAACTGGATTTAGGAGTTAAACTAAGTGATGCTTCGAAGAAACTTGGGAAGAAGTTTGCTACTGGGGCCTCTGTGGTTAAGGTTATTAACTTATGGTGCCATTACTTAAGTATCTTTCTACTGTAGATGCCTTTGATATCTTACCATATGCTAAATGCTTGGTTTTAGGGACCAACTGAGAAAGAGCAAATTGATGTTCAAGGGGACATAGCCTATGATATTGTAGATTTCCTTACTGAGACTTGGCCCGATGTAAGATATTTATTCATTATTAATATTAGGGAGAAAGGCATATACCCTCCAATTGCCTTTGAACTCATTTCAACATTGTACTTGAATGTCATTCTTTTACTTGGTATCTTTTGTGTTTGAATTTGGTTGGTTATTTTTAATATGATTTGCACATGATATCAAAAATATGATTTGCACATGATATCAAAAATATGATTTGCACATAAATTATAGTGGAGTCTGGTTAGTTTTTAAAAATGGTGAGCTGATACATGCAGACTTTCAGCTTCTAGTGATAAATAGTAGGTTGGGTACTTTTGTTTTATTTTTCTTTTCTGAAACTACAATGGGTAGGGCCAACATATTCAAATATATTTTTCTCCATTATCTGGTGATTCTAAAATTGTAACAATTTTGTGATATATTATTTAACACAAAAAGAGAAAACATGAAAGAAACAACTTTAGTTAAGATTATCTTTGATGCAACTGTATTTTATATGTGAAGTTATTAGCATTTCTGCAATTCTATGATATTGAACTATTGTTGTATGTACAAGAGACATCCAGTTAAGGATTTCAATGTTAAATTGGCTCCAGGTGTATTACTACGGCTCAAATGGTATTAATACAAATGGTGCAKCCAATCAGAGAACCATGTACTACTCCCCTACAAGATCAAAGCTCTACTTCCCACTAATATGATTCCCTAAGTTCCAGTCTACTAGGGTATAATCAAATCATTAGCGCTACATCACACTCACGTCTTCCCATCCATGAAACAAACTGGGAGATCTTGGGTTTGCTATTAAAAATTGATTCTCGTAGGTTATTCCCCCAATTCACTGCCAGTGATCATTCTCACTTTTGTCTAAGTTTTGGATAGACCAGGTCTCCCATGTCTAGTGATTGCAACCAATAAACCTCTGCTCCTAATATCAGATTGCAATTTCCTGGTTCTAGATGTTGACATTCCTTCGTAGATAYGATCCTTTTGCAGCATTAACACCCTTTAGAAGTTCCTCCAATTCACCAGGTTTTGGACCTACGAAAATGCTGTACTTGCTCTGTTTATTCTTAATCCTAATTTATCCACCACATTTTGAGTAATTAAGTTGTGAGTTGCTTTAGTGTCAATCTTAACCACCACCTCTTAACGTTTAATCTTGGCTTTTAATTTCATTCTGTGGGWCAAAGTAAGTCCCACCATTGAATTCAGCTATAATCCTCCCATCTCTCATTAGGCTTATCCTCCACTGTGATGTTATGCTTGTATTGATCTCCCAGCCACTCATAGAAAATTCTTTTGTAATTACAGTATAGGCTTATTTCAACAAGATTGGAAAGCTGTAATGTGGTAGCTCCTAGGGGGGCCTCCTCGGCTCTTGCCTCTGAACTGTGGTTCCTTTTTGTTCTTAATATAATATATATATTSCAGTTTCTTATAAAAAAAGAAAAGAAAAAGATCTCCCAGTCCTTCTCTAAAATTTCACTTGAACTAGTAGTGATGCCTTGTGGTGATGTTCTCATCACAATCAAAACACAAAACCTTCTCTATCGTACGCTGGCTGCTGGCTCCTTCCTCACCCTTCTTGAGAATTGGTTGAGTAGACTGGGACTGCAGACATTTTCAATTTCTTAAATATTAATGAAAAGTTATGTCTTCGTGAAATAAAAAATCTCAAAATTTTCTTCCTTCCTGGTGTCTACAAATGCCTCGTTCACTGTATTATGATGGGTTGATTTGTGATAACTATAATACCTTGGGAGTTCTAATCATATCTTGTAGTCATCATAAATTTGCCCATTCAAACCACATCAGACCCGAATTTAAGCTTATGGCTGCCCCTAGCTTCTCAACATCAACCATGCAGTTTGATGCAAAGAATTACCTGGCTTTGAATATCCAGCCATCAAATTGTCCTTTTGAACGTGGGAACTCCAATCTCCCCTTGAGCGCACTGGGATTCAGGTATTCACATCCCTTGCTGCCTGATTCCTTTGCTCCCTGTCTCAGGCATTCTCCCTCTCTCACATGCTACCTCAATTTTGTGGCAAATTTTTAAGTCACAACAATTGTTCTACTTTGTCGGGTGACACATTTACACTCTAGTTGATAGGTGGTATCTTCTGTAGATCATCTTGTTCTGAATTTAACTCATACTTCATCGAGGTCAGCCTGTATGAAAATGGTGGAATGCACCCCYTTTTTGAAGTCTGCTCTTATTCAAGCAATCTGGAAATTTTCTTCACCAAGAAAAGTGAAGGTTTTCTTATGGTCCCTTAGCACACAGAAGCTTGAACACCCATGAAAAGCTCCTAAGAAGTGCACAAACTGGGTGTTTTCCCCCTCTGTTTGTAGCTTATGTATGGCCAACACTGAGTCAAGTGACCATATGTTCATTCATTGCTCGTTCGCGGCTCGGGGTTGGCTTTTTCTTATGGATATTTTTGGTATGTCAACTTGTTTCCCTAGTTGTATAGATGACTGGCTAATAGAGGTTCTTCATGGTTGGAGTCTCCCTAAAAAAGCAAGGTTTTTGTGGAGGTGTGCTTCGAGAGCTCGCCTTTGGCATCTTTGGTTGGAACGAAATCTTCGAGTCTTTGAAGATAAGTCTTCCTCTTTTGAGATTTTTTGTAGAAATATCCAACACACTGTCTCTTGGTGGTGCATCAACTAAAGCAAATTCTTTTGTAACTACAACCTTTTCATGGTTTTGAACAATTGGAAAGTGATTGTGTAGTCCTTTTGGGTGGGGTTTCCTCTACCCCAGCCCTTAGGTTGTTCCTTTTTGTTTTCCTCATGGAATATACAAGTTTCTTATCTTAAAAAAAAATAACTCACACTTCATCTCTCCTGCCACTAAATTTGCTTCAACCTTATCATTCTTCTTTGTCCATGTTCTGTTGACATGCATAGGATTTGTCATGCCTAATACTAAAGTTGATTTGCTCCAAGTATATTAAGACACACAAGAACATAATGTTTAATTGTATTGTGAAAGATGATACAAGCAATTCAGGAGGTCTGTCCTATCTTACAAGAATGCTGGCTTCCAACTAATTACCCATGTTCTGCTGTTCTCTTTTCTCTTCTCCCAATCCTTCCCCCTCCCGCTAATTATCGAATGTCCCAACCTCATAACAAACGGGTATTATTAGATCTTTAGCATTATGCATCACATTTTTATGATCACTTGCAAGACCCATATAACTGAAGCTCATTACTTGATGGGCTACTCATCTTGGGCTCCTCTACACTTCTATAGCATTAGTACACCATTTTGGTGTCCTGGAAGGCCTATCATTTTTTGTTCTAAGAACTTGTGGAATTTGAGTTGCTTGTTTTTACCTCTTTAATGGGGATAGTGCTATGTAGACCTTTTTTTAGTGCTAAAACCTAACTCAGGGTGAGTCSGAATTATTTGATTGTACATACGTTTATGATTGGGTCTAGTGTGGTAGATTAAATAGATAGAACTCTAATTTTGGTCTTTTTAACCGTAAAGTAGGTGGCTATTTGCCTTTTTCCTCCACAGTCTTCAAACTACCATTTACTTTTATTGGTCTTTTCCCTCTCTTTGGGGTGTGGCGGTGTCATGATAGAGCATGTAGAAAATGGAGTTTAGAAAATTTTAGCAAAAAAGGGAATTAGAATTTGGAAACAAATAATGGTTTAGAGAACTACTAGGCCTTAACTAGCCATTTCGTAAGTGACACATGTAGCTTCACGATAGATGCTTCTTTTTGAACACCACCTTCATCTTGAACTTTACATTCTGAACCGAGTATTTTCATTTTGCACATTTTGCAACCATTTACCAAGCAATAAATAACAGCAAATATGTTATCAGAAAAAATAAATTAACTATTTATTTTATAGTTCTAATGTAAGAAGAGGATGACCTTTATATTTGCTTTCATATGTTTGATGTCTCAGATGAGATTGCTTTTTGAAAAAGCTTTGTCAATGTTGCTGATGTTACCTCTGATTGCCATGTTTGATTGCATACTTTATATCCTTGTTAAATGTACCTTCTGTTGTTCCWCATTTGAATTCCCCCCTCCCTCACCACCATTTATTTCTAATCATAATTATGTGGACATAAGATGTATTTGGAAATATTGAGTATATTTGTAATATGCTGTTGTAACAGGTCCCTGAAACTGCAATTTTCTTCATCGAAGATGGGAAAAAGGTTCCTGCTGCTTGACAAAGAAATCATGGCAAACAAATAATATGGACTTCTGTGCATCCTTTTCCATACTTGTGCGAGTCCTTTTAAGATTCCACAAGTAAGTGGCCATAACAGTTTTTTTGTTAAAGTTCCAGAAACCTATGTATTGGTTCATGAGACCTTTTGTCCCGCTTTCCTCAATCCTTGTAGCGTTTTCTCAGGAGATAAGTTATTTAATTTGTCCTTTTTTGTTAAAAAAGGAAAAAAAAACTTGGTCAAACTCTGGGTTTGTATAGGGGGCTATCTTGATCTTGTACGTTTTACACTTTACAGAAATGACTCAAGAGGCAATTCTCACCATATTTCTCCTCCCCCGACCGCCGCCCTCCCACCCACTTTCTCTCAGTGCAAATTGTTGCTGTCTCTTTTCATTTGGGAATTAGGAGTTTGTCAAAACATTGTTTTCACGAACAGTAAACTTTGACAGCATGTATCATTGTTTTTTGCTTTGTGGGTAAAGGGGAGTGTAACAATAAAAATTCAACAAAACAAATAATGGCTGAAGTGAGAATTGATTCGCTAATTGTGCCAATTTTGTGTGCATTAGAACCTAATATATGCTGATGTTGATGTTGAATGGTTGCTTGCTTAGGCTTTTTAGCATATGGAGGAGCACTTCAACCACAGATACCTTCTATATGATGCTGGTAAGGAAAACTTAAACCCCATTTGATTGCGTGGTCAAAGGCCAAAAGGCAGGATAGAGTTTGAAACCCTAGCTTAGTTAGTGTTCCTTTAAGGTAGGGAGGTAGAGAGGGAGGTTAAAAAAGTCAATACTGGGAGAGGGTCACATGATTTGATGGGAAAGTGCATGTCTGTCTTGTTAGCAGAGAGAGCACACTCAAAAACTTTTGTGTGTGGGCAACTTTGTCGTCGATTACAACCTCTTGGTGGTGAATAGAAAATTCTTTCGTAATTACAGTCTCTATGTTTTTKCAAGATTGGAGAACTATCGTCTTGTAGGTTCCTTTTTGGAAGGGGATGCCTTGTACCTTGTCCTTTGACTGTTCTTGTGTTTATAAGACATGATTCGTTTCTTATAAAAAAAAAAGAAAGAAATAACTTTTAAAAGAATTAGAAAGGTGAGTTGTGTGTGGATTTTGCGTGCGTGTGGGTGTTTGTGATATTAGGGGGGCGGTGGGGCGTGAGAGGTGAGTGGTATTATTGGAAGCAAGAGAGTTGGCAGAAGCAGAAAACAAAGTCAAAAGGATAATAGTTTTATGTACAGTGTGGGAGTGGCCTTGCATTGCCTTAACTTGCTTTTTACAATTTTTGCTACTCTTCAACT